CTTCTTCTTCCTCCTCCTTCTTCCTCTTCCTCTTCCTCTCCTCCTTCTCCTCCTCTTACTCCTCTTCCTGTTCCTCCTTCTTCTTTTTGACAGGGTCTTGCTATGTCACTCAGGCTGGCCTTAACTTTGAGGCTTAAGTTATTTTCCTGCCTCAGTCTCCCAAGTAGCTATGATTACAGGCGTGTACCACTGAAGCCACCCTAAATGACCAATATTTATTTGCTTTTTGAGACACTGTCTCAATATGCTGCTCAGGCTGGTCTTGAACTTGTAAATCTTCTGCCTCAGTGAGTCAAGTATCTGGGACTACAGGTGTGCACCACCCTGCCTGCTGGATGATGAGGAGGGCAATGAAAATGGGGTGAAACCAGACCCTTGAGGTGCTGAGCAAATGGTCTACCACTGAGCCAAATTTCCAAGCCCTAAAGTATTTTTTAGGCATGGAAGAATATACACGCCAGCATTTGCCACTAGTGCCACCTAGCACATTCGTGGCCAGCACCAGTTCTATCTAGCACCAGAACATTTTGTTTGGTTTTTATTTTTTTGAGATAGGGTCTCACTATGCAGTCCAGGCTAGCCTTGAACTCACTACGAAGCCCAAGCTAGCCTTAAACTCCCAGCATTTATCCTGCCTCAGCCTTCTGAATGCTGGAATTACAGGCGTGAACTACCACACCCAAACCACAACTTCCAAAACATTTTCACTACCCCTAAGGGAAGCCCTAGGCCCATTATTATTCACTTCCCATCCCTCTCCCCAGCGCTGGGAGCCAGCAGTCAGTGTCTATCTGTATGGATCTGCTTGTTCTTACAGGAGCTGGGGAGATAGCTCAGTAGAATAAGCGCTTGCCTGGTAGGCACAGGGTCCTGAGTTCAATTCCCAATACCAGAGGGGGAAAAAAAAAGGAAGATCTATAAATGGAAACATGTACTAGGTAAGTCACCACCAGTGCCTTGCTCTGTCTCTCTGTATCATGTCCTCCATCCGCAGCTTGGAGCCGCGCTGTTCCTTTCTATTGCTGTCTGATAGCCCACTTATGCACAGGTCACATTCTGTGGATTCACTCACCTATCATGGAACATTGGGTTGTTTCAACCAAAGAATGTATTTTATAGCTTGATTTAGAACTGTTAGGTGTCGGGTGGGGGGAGGGTGCATCTATGTTTTCCCAGAATTTTGGGGGGAACAAGGCAGAAGTACTGGACGTTTCAGCCCAGCGTGGGTGACTGTATCAGTCAGCTTTTCCATTGCTGGGACAAAATACCCAACACTGGCAATTTAAGAAAGGTTTACTTGATTCACAGTTTCAGGGAGTTTGGTCCATGTAACCACAGCCAGTGGCTCAAGGGCAGAAACTGCATGGAGAAAGGCTGGGCGGAGGAGAGCTCTCACATCAGGGAAGCCAGGAGACAGCGAGAAGGAGGAGGCAGGAACACCCTTCCGAGTCACGTCTCAGTGAACCAGGCCCCTCCTCTTCACCCATGGGATTTGAGGGGCTATTTTATTCTTTGTTTTGTTGAGACAAGGTCTTTCTGTGTAACTTCAGCTGGCCTCAAACTCAGGGCAATCCTCCAGCCTCAGCTTCACAAGGGCTGGGAAGCTAGGTGTATGACATCACACCCAGCATCAGGTACTGTTTTGATAATTTTGTTAATTTATTAATA